ACCAGGGGCGGCTCCAGAGCACTGGGAATTGGGGGGTCCTATTCGTGAAGCGAGTCATTTGGGCGAAGATCACGATGCTGCACCAGTTTTACGAACAGTGAATAAAAGGTATCATGTGATAACATATACAGTTATTGTGCATCCTGTTTTGACACGTTTTTGCTATAATAGGCGGATCCAGGCGTCCAAAAAGGGGGGTTATGTTTTACCTCCCAACATAGGTGCCCTGACACCGCCTATGCATTACCAATACAATTTTAGTCGTTCTCTCATAAGAAAATTATAACATAACAAGACCATTACCACCCTTTTTAGAAACAGTACCAACAAAAACCTTATTAACTATACTTTTTGTGTACCCCCAATCTCAATGATCTGTATCCGCCTATGATTTTTGAAAATGCATATTTTTAGGATCCATGTGAATTCCTGGTTCATTCTCTATCGATCGGCAAAAGTTGCGTTAAGATTGGTTCAGAAACCTGGCCGTGATAAACAGTCTAAAATGTATCTGCGATTTGCCCGTTTTTACCCCCCTCTACCCCCCCCTATTGACATTTTTTAATTTTTATTTTTTAGAAATGTAGATCACGTTGAGCGAAATCGAATTCCGTTTGAATTTTGAAAATCGGCCCGTTAGATCTCGAGATATCAAGGGGGGGTCGTAAACAGCCCCCCCCCCTGCCACTAATAGGGGGTAGCCAGGAGCCTGCCACTAATAGGGTTAACCCGCTTCGAGTCAGTGCTTGGGTCCCTTTGCGGGCCGGAGGTGGTAAAACAGCCCTGTCTAACTCGGCTCCTGGGCCACGCCCTGATTGAACTATGTTTCATTATCGTTTGGGGGAAGGGGAAAACGGGCCACTTTAGGCCTCTGGGAAGGGGGCATGGCCCTAAATGCCCCCTCCCTGGATCCGCCAGTGTAAGAAGAGACCATTGGAGCTGCAGTTAGGTACCTCAGACATCAGGGTACGCCCTCAGATGTATGTATAGGACTCGCATGGAGACCTCTTATGCTATAGTGTACTGAAAGGACCCAAAGGAGCCTGTCTATATGGGCTCCCGGAGATAGACGTGGGCCCTCAGGAGCCCGCCAGAGCCCCAATGAGGGATAAGTGAGGGATACCAAGTGCATATTGCATATTGCATAAGCCATAACGCCTTTACAAATCAATATATTATGCATCAGTGGCAGATCCAAGGGGGGCCACATGGGTCATGACCCCCTTGGTGCCCGGGGGCACCACAGGCCTGTCAGGGGCACCACCGGCCTAGTAGGGGCACCACCAGCCCGCCAGGGGCACCACAGGCCTAGCAAGGGCACCACGGGCCTGTGAGGGGCCCCACAGGCTTGTCAGGGGCACCCCAGGTCTGTCAGGGACACCAGAGACCTGCCAGGGGCGCCGCCGGCCTCGCAGGGGCACCATGGGCCTGTCAGGGACACCAGAGGCCTAGCAGGGGTACCACAGGCCTTACAGGGGCACCACCGGCCTTGCAGGGGCACCTTGGGCCTGTCAGGGGCACCACAGTCCTGTCAGGGCCCAGGGGCACCAGCGGCCTAGCAGGGGCACCGCAGGCCTGCCAGGGGCACCACCGGTCTAGCAGGGGCACCATGGGCCTGTCAGGGGCCCCACCGGCCTCGCAGGGGGCACCACCGGCCTCGCAGGCATCACGGCATCACGCAGGGGCACCTTGGGCTTGTCGGGGGCATCACGGGCCTGTTGGGGGCACTTTAGGCTTGTCAGGGGCACCACAGTCCTGTCAGGTCCCAGGGGCATCAGCAGCCTAGCAGGGGCACCCTAGGCCCGCCAGAGGTACAGCCCACCGCTAAAGTAATGTAGGGTTTTACCAAACTCAACGGTTGGCTTTGACTGGCGATTGTTTAATGCGAAGTGATTGAAAAGAAGATGTCAATAGCTAAAGTTGCAGCTGCAAGGGTGACGATACATATAAGCTACATTCAAAGTTTCATTGTAGTCTGGCTAATCGTTCCTAAGCTTCAGAAGCAGAACATACCCATGACTGAAACCCCACATTACTTCTGCTGTGGACTGTACCACAGGCCTGCCAGGGTCCAGGGGCACCACAGGCCTAGCAAGGGCACCACGGGCCTGTCAGGGGCACCTCAGGCTCCCGTGCCCCCCCCCCCCCTCCCCCCCAGATCCGCCAGTGATGCCACACCACGCGAAACACCGCCAACTACCAGCTGCCGCGCCATAAACACGTGCCAACAACAGTCTTTTTTTAAGGTCGACTCCGCTCGCGCAACTTTTGACTGACCCTCACTGCTACTATATTGCTTCCATATTATGCTGTGGAAAGCTTTACTTCACCAAGTGGCTAAAAACCTCCATCAAGGTATATTTTCTTAGCAATTTTTCTGGCGTTTTTTGGGGGGGGCCAAACAGGCCACTTTAGGCCTTTGGGGGGGGGCCATGGCCCCCGTGGCCCCCCTGGATCCGCCAGTGGCTGCTCGTCTATCCTTTCTTGATGTCCACTAAAAATTTCAAGTTTTTGTGATTTTTGGTTTCGGAGATATGACCTTGTTTTTCAGGTCATGTCATGACCCAAATGGCCAATTCTCAACATCTTGCGTTTGCTATGGGCCTTGTGAGCTTTTGACACCCTGATTTCGGCCTTTTTTGCCAGTCTTACCTCCCACCTATCATGGAGCATGTTGTTCGACGATGTACAGGGGTCAAGGTCAGGGTCAAGGTCAACCTGGGTCATCTAAGATAATTGCGTTTTAGGCAAGCTGAATTTACTTTTTGTGAAGTTTTTTGACTGCATTTTTGGTAAAAGCTTCTCAGATCATGATTTCATGTAATATGGACCCAAAAACAATCGGTGCACACATCAGTATACACACAGACACACACAGACATACAAACACATATAATTCACCTTGACCTAACTTGACCTGAAATGACCTCAGCAGCAAAATTATGGTCGGATAGTGTGACAAAGAGGTTCTAGCTGGCTTGGCACCAGAAAACAGCATCGTCATCGGTATTTGATAAGCAGCGCACTTGATATCCAACGGTGACCCAAAACAGCAACATTTTTTAGTTTGACCTGACCTGGAAGGTCAATGACTGACCTGAGAAGGTAAAACTGGGTATCATTGGATTCGTCTCTTCCCAAAGAATATTTTTGGTCTTACTGCTAAGCTCTATCTCCAACAGGAACGAAATGGCGCGGGGGGGGGTGGCAACCACCCCACCCCCCCCCCCCCCATGTGCGTTCTAGGATGGGAAAATGGCATGTGCGGGCGAGGGTTAACCCTCGCCCGTAAACGGCGATCTGCCTCCTTCGCCCATGCAGGGGGGGGGGGTTGGTGCGACCCCCCCCCCTTAGCGTTTGAAAACGGAGCGTCGTAGAGCTTAGCGGAAAAGACCAACGGATTGCTCTCGCCGAGATCTCGCGATTTGTGGTATATTTTTGGTCCTAGGTCAACATTTGACCTACTTTTGACCGGTCAAAGGTCAAATTTTCGGAAAAAATAGACTTTTTCAACTTTCCGCGGCAATTGCGGCAAAAAGGTCGGCGATATCGACCTGAAACCTTCACTATCGTGTTCCTTGATCAATTCTCTATCGTTTGGTATGTATTTCGTTTCCCTAGCTCTAAAAATGGCGCGTTGGGAGCGCCGGAAGTCGGCAAGGTCACAGTCGGCGGCAGAAATTCGAAAAATCAAAATTTAAATTTTTGAAATCTGATTGTATTTTTGGATTTGGGAGGTCCATTTGCTCCCTATAGAAGCTAATATTGCTGCATATTCCCATTGAGGTGACAAGAATTAGCAAAATAGTGGTTCGGGCGCTTTTCAAAAATAGTGCCGGACGCTGTCCCTCTTGTGACGTCATAGCTCCGTGACCTGACCTGACCCGGTCGGGTTTCTTATACCATATAATAGCCAATACTTTCCCCAACATGCATGGGAAGTTTCATCACGATCCATCAACCGATGTCCGTACCACCGGCAGGAAACCTCGGGCGTTGGCACTCAGTTTATGAAAATTCGGCCGGAGGCTGTTCCCTTTGTGACGTCATAACTCCGTGACCTGACATGACCCGGTCAAATTTTTTTTTTATCAAAAGATGCGCAAGGTTTGCCCCATAAGGTACCCAAAATTTGGCGGCGCTGCGCGCCGCCGTTTTTGCACTATTTTCGAAAAGCCTCAGGGGGGGGTTGCACCAACCTCCCCCCTACATGGGCGAGGGTTAAGGTCCCAAAGCGGACTCTAAATGACCATGCTAGCCTCCGACGGCTCGGCTTCGGCTTCTGAGGGCCCTACGCTGGCCTCGAAACCTTTGGTAGGAGTTTGTAGACATGTTTACGGATGCTCTGATTAGGCAGGATTTTGGTATACCTTTACCTACGGTATATGGTATGTATGTTAGGTGTGGTGTAAAGGTCCGCTTATACGGTGTATATTAGGTGGTATAATATGACATTGTGGAGTCTGGTTTGTCCCCATCTCCCCAGTCGAAATTCCTTAGCCGAGGGCCCGAGGTCCTGCTGTGTGTGTCAGTCCTGCTGTGTGACTGTCTGTATCCTATACATCCTATCCATCCTAAACACCCTATACATCTGGTGTTTCTAAGTGCATTAGGAGGTAATCGCCAGGGGTCGTACCATACCAGCCCCTCTACCCTCACCTTCCGCGTTATGAAAAAAGCCTGGCCAAGGGTAAACATACGTAGTGCTAACGTTCCTTTATTATCTCGTTTTTTTTTTTGCGAAAAACTAGTAGCGATAGTAAATTTCTATATTGGTTACCTAAGACCTGTCCGCCTGCCTGCGAAGCTTGCCTGCCTGGTATGCAACAATGCGGGTTGCATGACAAAACATGTCGTAATACGATACGACATGTCGTTTTGTGAAGTGATTAGACACAAAGCTGCAAGATATGACGTAATGCGTACCACGTAACGCTACGTACTAAGTCACCTTTATATGATTAGTAGAAACGTAAAAAAGCTGTATTTCTGTGTTCCAGATGGAGATGACAGATGTGCGTGAAGACCTGGTCGCCCTTCGCCGGGAGGTGTCCGCCCTTCGTGAAGTGGTGGCTGCCCTTCGTGAAGAGATGTCCGCCCTTCGGGAAGTGGTGGTCCCCCTTCGTGAAAAGGCGACCATTCTGAGTGAGGTAGTGGCGAAGGACCATTCGGACACGCAGAAGCTCAAGGGGGAGAACGCCGCACTTCACGATGCGATGGTCCGCCTGGAGCAGGCAGTTATCGAAGAGCGGACCACTCGCCAGACCGTGGTGGAGGATCTGCGGCAGGAGGTCCGCCGGCGAGCGGCGCCATCCGGCCGTCCCCAGGGGTGAGACTGGGAGGCAGCAGGGGTGGCTGCGGGCAAGGCCCTAAATACAAGGTTGCACGGACTTATTTCTACTTAACCTACCAGAATATAGTTTCACGGTTGAATATTTAAATAATTATTCAATCAAAACTTCTTCATTATTATCTCGTAATCATTTATAAGCAATTTTATAAATATACTTTTAATTTGCTTGCCATTTACGGGCAAAATAACTTTCTAGTATTGGGTGTAGCAGTAGCAACCATATCTGGCAAAACCCCAATACCTACATACAGCAGAAAAGCAGCCACCAGGTGTCGCCACAGTCGCCCCACAGATGTCGCGCGCGTCGCTTATCGCCACACTACCGATTTCCATAAGGACGCATATGTGCGGATATGTAAGGGAAAGTCGCCCTTAAGGATTTCGCTTACATCCTTTGCTTATAAGGTCGATGTTTGGAAATTGGGAGGGGCTCGGCTATTTTTGACCACGGATATGGCTTTATCACATGATGAGGAACATGCTGATAAGCGTTTAATGTGTCATAACAGCACCCAAGTATTTTTAATCATTTTTCAAAAATGGCCGTTCTGCCGTATCTTTCAGTGCAAGGTGCCGTCGGTCATCCCCGACGTTACGTCACGCCGGGGATTGCCAGATTTTCCTACCAGACTTCGACGCCCCCTGGCTGCGGGGGCTGAGAGATTTCGGAGGGCTGTCATGGTGAGAAGAAAACTTTCTTTGTAGAAGGTGTAAAAAAATAAAACATAACTAGGTCATTGAAGGTCGAGTAACTTGTAATTGTAATTTCCGCCCAATCAAAGAAACATGCCTTGAATTCGTACCATCTTTCGCAAGTTAGCCGTTTAGTCTCCATCATATTGTTCCAGTTTTCGACAGCCGTCCTGCATAAAGTTGGCCAGTTCGGGACATCATATCCCGCACGTATTTACATGTCTTCATCAACAATCGTGTCACAAAATATAATCGGTCGTATCAAATCGTTCAGATTCGTATGAAATCAACTCTGAACGATTTTATGCAACCGAATAGATTTGACAACATACTATTGCTGACGACGATATGTAAATGCATATCGGATCATCAAAGGAGCCAACTACAGTTGTGACCTTCTTTTGCATTTTGATTTATGTACTTTTTCTTGTCTTCTCAGTAAAATTACAAAAGCGTTTCATGACGTCACGGTACAGACGGAGCCCCAGTCATCGGCAGTCAGTGACGTCATAGTACAGACGGAGCCCCAGTCATCGGCAGTCAGTGACGTCATAGTACAGACGGAGCCCCAGTCCTCGGCAACTAGTGACGTCACGGTACAGACGGAGCCCCAGCCATCGGTCGCCAGTCTATTCAACACGCTTGAGGAGTCGCTCGGCCTTGTAACCATGACGACGTTCGACGCTCCGTCAGCCCTTGGCGAGGATCAGCTGACGGCGCTTCTGCAGAGTCTTCCTCGCTTGGAGGAGCTGACCGTCAGGGTCCCGTCCTTCGGAACGGGGCGGTGGCTGCGGCTGCTGCCGACGTCACTGAGGACGCTATACGTTGCCGGTGAGAAATAGTTGAGGAAACGCGTACTATTACTTCTGAATGGTGGTACTTACATAGCTCACATAAAGTAACAGTTTCAGTGATAAACGTTCAGCGGACATATGTGTGCCATGCTACCTACCTGCTACACAAACATTAGCCACTGTATTGTACATACCTACTTTATACTCTTGCAAACGAATATGACCTGTATGTACTGAACCTGTATGACCTTTATGTACTGAACTGTATTAACCCGCGACCTGGTGGGGGGGCTATTTTTTGCCCCCCCCCCTCCAGACTTTTCGATATATCTCCAGAACCGCTGCGCCGATCGTCACCAAACTTTCAGTACCCTCCTGGACATCAATTTTACACCTTGTGACCAAACATTTTTCCAAAAGCTATGATAGGTTGGCCGGAAATGACGTCAGAGTGACGTCATGTTCTGCCGTTTTCGACCCAAAAAAGGGTTTCGCGGGAAGAGCTGTCAGGCCTATAGCTTTGCAAATACAGAAAAATGTTTAGGACATAAAAGCTGTAGAATTGACAGGGCTACAAAACTGCTATCTCGGATTTTTTATTTTTTTTATTTTGACCCCCAAAAATCAAAAAATAGATTTTTTGGATATAATAGTCAAAAAATCCAAAAAGTTTTTTGAATTTCGCAAAAACCGGAATATATGTGATAGTCCTTACCGCCTTCCATCCACATACCAAATTTTAGATTGATACCTCTTTTTTGGCAAAGTTATAGCGAAAAAACTGTTCAAAATTAATGACGTCAAATTTTCAAACTCAATTTTTAGCAATTCTAGACCTTGTAGTGCAAAACAAAGACCACCATTAGACTCCCCGTGACGAGCTGCATCGAATGGATACCCATTTTATGCAAAAATATCAACTTTGAAATTTGACCTTTTTTGACCTGACCTTGACCTGACCTCCACCAGAAAGTGACCTAAACCGTACCTGATGGTCTTATAACCAACACCGTTGGGTTGGAAATGAAAAACTGGCCATAAAACATGCATCGCACAACCTTAGTAAAGTTGGGTTCATGTGGTGACCCTTGGTGACCTTTGGTGACCTGACCTGTGACCTGACCTGGTATGACCAGTGACCTCTAATAGCAACATATGTACTAGACAACTGACGTCTTATCGCTGATTTTCGACAAAATGCGTTTTACTCGGTGTTATAGCGCTTTCCCTAGAAGCCCCGTGAACGGTGAAACATTTTATCTTTGACCTGACCTGTGACGTCATCGGTGACCCCGAGGTCAATGAAATTTGGTTTCCTTCGACAAATTTGACAGGGCTATCGAACACCGTTTGAATTTTGCGGATCCGTCCAGTAGTTTCGGAGATACGAGGGGGGGGGGAAATAGCCCCCCCCCACCAGGTCGCGTTATAAACAGACCCCACCAGGGCGCGGGTTAATTAACTGACGCATGTATAAGCATAGCGCATGCATTGTGCACAGTGTTCAATTACTGTCCAACAGTGCCGATCGACCCTGGCGTTGTCAGTGTCGTCTGTGTCAGGGTTTGACACCACAGTGTCAGCCGCCTCCCGACCCGGCAGCAGCTCCGTCCGACTGCTGTCAGCTGACACAGCTCTGTCCGACAGGGCCGGAGGTGACGAAGCCGAGGTGGCCTGGACGGTACGGGAGTGGTCTGTCGGTATCTCTCCAGGGGGTGGCTGCCGACACCATAAGTCACCTGGCCACGGAGCTGGGGTCACGGATTACGCTACTAGTCACGGATGGTGAGCAACGATTGAAGTTACTCATATATGAATGGCTAGGAAGGGATAAACAACAGTAGCTGTTCCGGCGCTCAGCGTTCTCTGGCTGTGACGTCACGGCCACCCCGGCGGGCCGCGGCCCGGCTGACCTCCAGTGACCTTGAGACGCGCTGCCGGCCGCGTCAGCTGATTGTCGGCGGTGCGCGGCGACCCCAAACGCTGCCGGACTGGTCAGGTGCAGGTGGCGCTGCCGGGCGCTCCTGAACGGGGCAGGGGGCGACACGGGGACACGAAGAACGGAGAAACAGGCCGGCGGCACCGTTCCTTGCTTGTGATTTTTGCTCTAAGGTACTGTCTATTTTTTTTTTCTAGCAAATGTTTATAAATAACGTGGGGAAGCAGTTTATCCCCGACACTCTGAAGCCTAAATCAAACCAGGAATAACTGGATACAACACATATTACATGTACTGTAGGTAATGCTGCCTCCCTCATCCTAAGGTAAGACGGAAGCCATAAGCCATGGTATTTGGTAAGCCGTAGTATGACAATTCGTGTGGTGAATGGTGCTGGTCAATAATTTGGGCCTGTCATGGACGTAATATTTACGCTATAAAATTTATAACGATAGAAAGTTGAAATAATTAGCTACACATAATAGCTGAACAAAATACTTAACCCTATTAGTGGCAGGGGGGGTGTTTTTATCCACCCCTCAGGTTTTTCGGGAATATCTCCGAAACCGCTAAAGCTACGATGCTGAAATTTTCTGACTTTTCCTAAAACTTAATTGGGCACATTCCCTGAAAATTTCAAGTTCATAACTTTACCAGAAGCGGCTCCAGAGCACTGGGAATTGGGGGGTCCTATTCGTGAAGCGAGTCATTTGGGCGAAGATCACGATGCTGCACCAGTTTTACGAACAGTGAATGAAAGGTAATATGTGATAACATATACAGTTATTGTGCATCCTCTTTTGACACGTTTTTGCTATAATAGGCGGATCCAGGCGTCCAAAAAGGGGGGTTATGTTTTACCTCCCAACATAGGTGCCGTGACACCGCCTATGCATGACCAATACAATTGAAGTCGTTCTCTCATAAGAAAATTGTAACATAACAAGACCATTACCACCCTTTTTAGAAACAGTACCAACAAAAACCTTATTTACTATACTTTTTGTGTACCCCCAATCTCAATGATCTGTATCCGCCTATGATTTTTGAAAATGCATATTTTTAGGATCCATGTGAATTCCTGGTTCATTCTCTATCGATCGGCAAAAGTTGCGTTAAGATTGGTTCAGAAACCTGGCCGTGATAAACAGTCTAAAATGTATCTGCAATTTGCACGTTTTTACCCCCCTCTACCCCCCTATTAACATTTTTATTTTTTATTTTTTAGAAATGTAGATCACGTTGAGCGAAATCGAATGCCGTTTGAATTTCGAAAATCGGCCCGTTAGATCTCGAGATATCAAGGGGGGTCGTAAACAGCCCCCCCCCCCTGCCACTAATAGGGGTAGCCAGGAGCCTGCCACTAATAGGGTTAAGTGAAAAGGATTCAAAAGCTGTCAGATTGATCAATTGACATCATGAAAATATGTCTTAGTTCGGAATATAATCTACTAATTTAATTGCGATTTTTATTTTATATGTCAAAGACCCATTATCATTTTATTTGTTGAATATTCTGTTATGGAAAGTCGCCGTAATTTATGAAATTCACATCGTTTTGATAAAGTACATACTCACTCAGACACGGAATTATCACAGCATTGTAGCCACAAACAGTTTTCACTTTGTGTTTTCTACACCTGTAGGTAAGTGTACTATGTTTGAGCTAGACTAATGCCTGACATTGGTTCAATCACCTTTCCAGCACAAATAACTACTATTCCAAGTCAACTTCGTGGTGCCATCATCAGGGTGGAGCCAAACACTGTCATCCTTCCGGCCGGAGTCGGTGACAGCGAGCTGACGGAGCTGCGGAGCTCACGGGAGACTGTGGAGCGGCTGTCAGTCACCGCCGCCGACCTCCCGCGACTGAGGGGGCAGCTGCCGGAGTGCCTCCAGCGCCTCAATGTCAGAGGTGAGATACCACGGATCATGCATGTAATGCCGGTATAATGGACAATGCATATAGATAAACAAATGGACAGGGAGACGGCAAATGGACGAACCGATCAAATTCAGCCAACATCTTACAGCCTTGTTTGTGTTATATGGTATTGTTAGAGTGCAATATATGCAAATGCATGCATTTGCATATAGTGTGAGCATCAAGTGCATGCATGAAATATTATTGTACCAATTATTGTAATTTGAAATGGTTAGATTGCAACCACTGCGAACCATATATTATGTAGTCTACCAACCTGATCCGTTACTATACCTTGACTGGCTGCCTAGTGCCTAAGCCAATGTGCTTTGCAAAAATCGTAGGTAATACTTATGTTGCTCATATTTGAATATTTACGTATGTATGCTGTTGGTAAAAATATCGTTGTGCAGCCGCTCGGCTATGCTAGTGCTGGCTGTGTCAGTGTCTGACACTCTGGTGTCAGTGGTGCAGCGGGGAGCTGGCGGCAGCTCTGTCCGACTGCAGTCAGCTGACACAGCTCTGTCCGACAGGGCCGGAGGTGACGGAGCCGAGGTGGCCGGAATGGAACCCGTGGTGGGATGATCTGTCAGTGTCGCTCCAGGGGGTGGCTGCCGACACCATCAGTCACCTGACTGACCTGGGACGGACGGTCACACGACTGGAGACAGGGGTGAAAAAAAGCTCCGACTCGCCGACGCACGCAGGTGACAGCTTATGACATTTGATGAGACAGCTGGCGGCTTGTCAAATTTATAGTTGACAACGAAAAGCTATAAACAGACATCAGTCATTACGTCCGCAATCCCTCACAATTCACATTCATTCCAAAGCATAATACATATCCTAATGTGAAGTCACGTTAAAATCATACCACGCAAGAATATAGCAGACGCGTCCACCAGCTTCCGACATCCCTGCTGGCCAATGAAAAAGGCCGGCCGTGTCGTGAGTATACCGGTGGGTTCGATGGGTCAGCTACAATTATGGCGCGATTCTTATAAATAGTGGCTAGTGATTTGTTGCACCACATTTTATCACAACGTAAATGACGTCATTAAATTTGTGAATTATTTTTTCCATCTGTAAGAGTCCATGTAAAAGCAGTTATTTGTTACATATTTAGATTGTTTAATCCCAAAGTAATGTTTTCATGTGGCCCTTTTGAGCTATTTGCTAAAATACCTACTCATAAGTTTTATTTGTCAACGACTCGCGTTTTTCTAGCAAGCAGACCAAGTCAACTAAAGAATGCACGCTGTTTCTAGCAAGTAGGCAGTAGCCAGTAGGTCACATTTTGAAGTTTATCATCCTGAAGAAATCAACTAATTCAAATGGTGATTGGTGAATGACCCGTGCTCACGTGAATGATCGCAGCAGATCGCAGACTCTTTGTCCTGTTTGTGTGGCGAGATTGTGGCCGTTGTCGTTTTTGGTAATTTTTGTTCCACGTGGTTGTGCTCCACTGAAGATGGGAAAAGCCAGACATCGGACACCAACACAAACACCACGAATGATGCGAGTGGTGCCTCTGCATCTGTCTTTTCTCAATCTCAGTCTGCTGCAAACATGCCATGTCAGGTAAGTCAAAGCATTTGGTTGGCTTATGGCTACCATTTTGCACGAAATCAAGCCAATCTTCTAGGGCGTACAGGGTAAATATTTCTCTGCACCCCACCAGCCACATCGCATCTCTCCGGGCCGCGCCGCTCGGGCCCATGTAGCGTAGTTGGTAGCGTCTCGGATTACGGATCCGTGGGTCGTGAGTTCGCATCTCGGAGGCGACGCATGTTAATTGTTTATGCGATGAAGTTCGAATCAGGTTTGCATTATAAAGAGGAAAAGTGTTTAACGGTGAACATATGTTATTTGTAATACCAGCTTGCTCCTGAGGTCGATAACAAGTAAAAGTGCTATCTTGTTCAGTAATATCAAACAATCAGGTTACGTTTTTTCAGCTAATTGTAAATTAAATTAGCGGGGTATTTGTTAAAGGGACCGTCCCACCTTAACATTAGATTTGAGTTGAGATAGCCAAAATGGGGTCCCTGGCTCACAATTACCGGTTTCGGCACTCACAACATCGAGAAATGCCTTAAATCGGAAATATTGAATTTCAAAATTGCAGCATTTTGATTCAGAGGGGCTGATGCTTAGGAATACCCCTCTGAATGTGTGACGTCAGCGCAAATATCTAACGATTTTTAAATGTTTGACTAAAACGTTTTGTAGCACGCGGTGGTATATGCTATTTGCGCGCAACATCTGACGCAAACGCCGCACTTCTAAAATAAAGTCGCTAGAAACAGCGGAGATCCCAAAAAAGTAAACAAAAGTAAAAGTCTAATATCTTGAAAACCAGTGAATATTATTCGGTGAAATTTGGTAGATATTCGTTTTCGCTCTTTCTGAACCGAGCGACATCACTTTCATGCCAATTCATAAACTTTTTTGAAGGTGGGAGGGTCCCTTTAACGGTGATTCTATTCCCGAAAAAAAAACACTACAAATGCCCGATATAGGTACTTACGATGTTATACCAATGCGTAGCGCTAGTCACAATTCCTCTGCGCAATACTCGGCCTCACAACCGACACAACGAGGTTCGATCACTAAGACTTTTCAAATTCGACTGACCAGTAGAATCTTCGGGGTGCCATCGCCGGCCCCATAAACAGGCCTCGGACGTTATGGGACGATAGGACTGAGACTCCGCCGAATCGTCATAAACCGTGGGCAAGGCAAGGCCGTATCAGCCCCCTCCAAAGTCATATGGCAGCATGGGCGTGACTTTTCCTACTAGCCCATAGGGTTGCGTGTTAACCCTCGCATGTGTGCGGCGTTTTCCAGCTTCTAATGTGTAGGGGGGGGGGGTCGGTTGGACCCCCCCCTTGCCGTTTGGCCCCTGATCGAGCTAGAGCTTCGCGGAAAAAACGAGCGTGTTGCCCGTGACGAGAGGAAGCCGATGATACCCAATTTTAAGGTCCTAGGTCATTGGTTGACCTTCCAGGTCAGGTCAATGACCCAAGGTCGGGAAAATCGGGACCTGTTAGAAAGTCGTTAAGTGTGGCTGCTAAGGGGTTTTTCGGGGTGCTGATCACGAATATCGTGTTAGTTTTGATCACAGATGATGTCTTTAAGCATTTAGACCAGGTCGGGTCAGGTCAGGTCAGGTCAACCAGTAGGCGTCGTGACGGGTATTAGTATTACGTGTCAACCGCCTCTGACAGCTTCGTAACATGTTACGAAGTCATCAAAACTACTTCGTAAATGTTCAAATGGTTGCTAAATTCGAATTCAGCTCCAAAAACTAGCCTAGAAACATGTAAAACTCGAAAAAGTGAACCGAGGTCACCAAAGGTCACTGACCTGACCTGACCTTCAGGTGACCTTGACACCCACCCTAATGCATGGGAGCAACATCAAATCACATGTTTGAACGTTTGAAACCACGAAAAGCTTGCAAACGCGCTGCTAATGCGAGCCGACATACGCGGAATCGCGATTCCGGCCAAACATTGTCTCGGAAAAGAGGTCACAGGTCAAAGGTCATTGGGGTCAGGGTCATGAAATTTTCAGGGTAGGTGTAAAATTGATCAATGCGAGGGTACTGAAAGTTTCGTTGCGATCGGCCGCTTTTTACGCGAGTTATTCGCGAAAAACCATGGGGGGGGGTCCATCCGACCCCCCCCCTACACATGCGAGGGTTAAAATGCGACTTTTCGCGCTCGGTTTTCAAGGTTTCGTAGTGTGGGCATCCACATACAAAGTATGTCAAAAGATAGCTACAACATTTTTATTTCCATTTTTGGGATGAAAAGTTCAAGCCCATCCAACCGTTTTCGAGATATTCGTCCATATATGACCCCATGTTTTTGATACATCGAAAGGCCCTGTGTTCGAATCTCGGACAGACCAAAACTTTTATCGTTAATGTGCGGCAAACCATTGCTGCAAAGTAAAGTAGGGGTGAGCGCGCTGGTGATGGAGGGTTGTAAGTTGGCATACCTGACCTTTGATTCAAGCCGGATTTTGTGGCACCAACCTCATTTCCAGGTCAGGTCAGGTCACTGACCTATGACGTCATAAGTGAACCTCTGCACGGTCTCAAAAACGTCGTAACATAGTAACTCCATCAATTCAAGGAGATCTATCACAGGTAGATGAAACTTACAGAACTTATCAAACTCCCTTATTCTCAAAAGTCGTTAACTTCGGATTTCTCCTAAGGGTCACCTAACGTCAGGTCGGTCAGGTGATCTGGCCATTATAAGCCGATGGGGGGGGGGGGGGATATAGAGACAGTTATTTTGGCGCTGACAGTGATCTTCATCTTAGACGGAAAAGACACAAATAGATTCAGAAAGACCTGCCAAATTGAATAACGTGCAACTTGACCTCATCATGAGGTAATGACCTGACCTGACCTTGGACGGAGGTCAACATCCTAAGTTGACCTCACCCATACACAAAATATATCATTCGACGTGGCTGAGCATGACGAACACGATGGTGTCAAAATTGCAGCTCTGATACCATTTTAGGCGACCACCGAACAATCCACTTCCTGGTATGCCAATGCTTTTATTATCTAAAGACGATAAACAGTGAACATTCTCATATGTATATGCAAACATGCCACTTTGGGTTACAGAGTAAGTGGTTCCCAATCTTACATACTACACGTTCCACACATCACACTACCGCTCGTAATTGCAATGCAAATAAGCTTTGGCTCGTTGGAAATAAACTTTGGCATTGGAACTTGGAAGATGTCACTGTGTTACACTAAACATTGACCACAATTAGATATCAGGTATCAATATCAGTAACATTCAGCTCATCCTCAACACATAACAATCAGACGGAGAACACTACCTACAGTAAACCTCAAAGAGGTTTTGGCCATGGTAGGCAATGAGGCATAGCTGCGAGCAAGATCTTCGATCTGAGAAAACATGAAGATGAAATTACATGCATCACACTTGCAATAAAAACAAACTCAAGTGATACTTATCTTTGAAAAATCAGGATGAAAGAACATCAACCTATTTGAAAACATAACAAGCATTATCAGAGGAGTAATGCATGGTTATTTAAAAGACCTGTTAATATTAAGGTAGTGGATTGTTAACAGGATCTTAGAATGGTCGAGAGATGTTGCCTTCAGAAGGATTTCCTTTCCTCATCAATCAATCAATCACACATTATTGATGTTTACAAATGAACACCGGGTGGTGCACACCCTGAAAGTCACAGCTTCACACAAGCTGTTGTCTATGTTGAAAACTAGGCTTCCTTCCTGTTCAGATTAAGACAGTTGATGGCACCTTTGGTTAGCCTTGTTCAAGGAAGCATTCATTTTGCCAGTGTCGGTAGGGCAGCCTTGCTACATATAGGAATATAGGAATCTTGAGCCAGGCACAGCATACATGTAGTAGTGCATGTCTTGTCCTGAAAAAGGATCAGAGATATATGGCTAAGGAAGTCATGAATGGAATTGACTCAGGCTGCTCTGAGGATGATTGACCACAAAGACATGGCTATTGTGAAAGCCCTGAAATAACTTATGAACTGGTGTGTTTTGAGTGAGGTGGAGTATCAAGAACAGCATTAAAAAAAGAAAAAGTAAAAGTTGACCTAAAAATTATCTTCCATGTTTAGATTCAATCACCTAAATCTTACGCGTTTTCATACAAACTTAAAATACCAAGAAATTGCACAATTATCACTAACATGAGGCAACAAATGCTTCTTTCTACTTACTATCCACTTTCATGGATGCAGGATGCATGTGTTTTGATTTCATTATCACAGCAACACAGTTGTACGAGATGCTTACACAAAGTATTATGTTATATGTTGATGTTATTCAGCTGGAGCCTGGGACAGTGATATTGTATTGTTAAGTTTGTTCAAAACCAATGTCCCAAAATTTGCCAGTTTTGGGTGGGAAGTGACATCCAACTGAAATCAATTTTCCACTTACATGTCCAATTTTCAAGAACAATTTTTCACTCTGAAATAAAATTTTGGGACACTGTTCACTGTTCATAACACCAGCTTCATTTCTTAGTTATGATAGCTTTCAGAAGACTTCAATCATCCTTCATCAGCCTGTCAGGGCTCTAAAAATACATACAAACGAGTAGCGACAAACAAAGAAAAGACAATACACAAATGTCGTACGAAAGCTGCCATTGCAAATAGATAAAGCCGGTGTACGCAATCTTTGCAATACGATTATATCAAATATGCTCACAGATAAGTCGAAAGGTGTCGCCATGCATCACAATTGATAAAATTCCTTGAAACTTCTTTTTTTAACACATTGCTACGCAAAAGAATGAGAAAGCATGAGGCTGGCCCACCACCCAGTCAAGTACAGCAGTTTGCAAATTTGTAAACAGTTACTCAGAAAGGCCTTTGTTCACACAATTCCATGCATAATGAAGAGCCAATTTTTTAATGCACACGATAGTTATTAAATACTTAGCCAGCACAATTTGTAAGTCTTTAAATGAAGGGAGAACACCATGGAACCGTGTGAAACCACAAGCCGCCTTGTGTATAAATATGAAGCGCAATGTATTGAAACACGAGCGCCAGCTGCGCCGCGCTTCAGCGCAGCCATATCCTAGGATAATATTCGGTATATAGTAAAAAGCTCCTAGTTCTAGTTGTTTTTCTAGATGATATAGTATAATTCTAGTATATACTAGGAAAAACTTTGGAGTACCCGACTCTTTAGTGCCCTGGGCCGTATAACAGGGATAGGGGACGGCGATCCTCGCCGCTCGCCATGGGCCTAACAACCGTAGGTATCTATTGGTGTCTCGAACAAGCTGAGGTTGTTGGTGCTACATACTAATCAACTACTCTCTAACCGAACCGAGTTTTAGAAGGAGCATGCTAACGTCACTCGACGAGAGCCACCCGTGTTTTGAGGATTATGATTTATGATCAACCGTTGTTCCAGCTCCTTTTCTCGAAAACATTCACCTAAATGGAATTGTGGATGATAATCTTGTTTGTGATGTTTCTCTTCGTGTCGAAACGACCTCAAGCCATGCATTAAATAGAACGAAAATTTGCTTCCGCTTTGAACGGACAATACACTCAGCGCTCCTCTACAGCTTCTTCCTTTTATCTACGTGTCAGTCAGTAGCGGCGGAACACCTTCAATTAAGGGGGGGGGGGGGCACTGCCGACTTTTGGTACCATTCTTTCCATGCAACGCCTATAGGGCTAATGTTAAAGGGAGATAATGAGCTTTCTGTTTTCTTGAATAAAAATTATTCGACCTTTGTGTTATTTTTACTGCAGTTTTTAGAAAATATGGAAATTACCTGGCACATTTTCGTATGTGAAATCTGTTTTTATTTTTACAAAAAATAAGCAATACTTGCAGTACTCGCAATATCCACTGAAATGCTTTGTCCTTCTCTTTCAAAAAGTCGCAGTGTATGGCGCCTTTGTTTCAAACAACGACGCGTTATTCCAATAAATTGCAATATGTTTATTTACGCTTTTCTGCGCCACACATGTACAGCATGCGCCAGAAACGAGGTAAAACTCGCGATTGCGACTACGAAATTCATTATTTTGGCGTCAGAGCCTGAAGCGAAACATGTAAGCATATTTATTTCCAAAACACTTCAGGTTTAACAAACAGTGTCATGTGAATTTTGATGACAGTACTGCATTAGTATTTCAGTGATGCTTCAAAAGTGTAGTATCTATCTTCTTTTATTGTGCAGTCGGTGGAACCGATTCAAAATTGAGTCGTTGCTACTAAAATAGCCGCCTATGGCGTCAGATGATGAAAAGCAAAAATAATTGCGCAAATTTGGACATCAACCACCTGCAAACCATGAATATCTTTTGAAGGCACTTCAAACAGCTGGTAAGTAACTAGACGTGATGAACATCCAATCTGAGGAATACGCTCATTTTCTAAAATGCCATGCAAGTACCAAAAAGTGATGTAAGTACTTGCTCAACGGTCATTTTCAGCGCTCCCCGCTTACGTGACTTCAAGGTGAGATATTTCCGGCATGGTACTGATTTGAGGAAAATGGTTTTAATTTACATTATAACTTGTTGTGTTTTATCAGAAAATGGTCCTAACTTAGATTTTGTGGAAAAAGGTCATATTCTCCCTTTAACCCTCGCCCGCACATGGGGGGGGGGGGGTGGTTGCCACCCCCCCAGGCAGTCTTTCTGCTCTGCACTCAACATTTTTAGAGCTAGACGGCTGATTTTTCGTATAGCTGCTCATCCATCCTTTCTTGATGTCCACTGAAAATTTCAAGTTTCTGTGATTTTTGGTTTCGGAGATATGACCTTGTTTTTCAGGTCATGTCATGACCCAAATGGCCAATTCTCAACATCTTGCGTTTTCCATGGGCCTTGTGAGCTTTTGACACCCTGATTTCGGCCTTTTTTGCCAGTCTTACCTCCCACCTATCATGGAACATGTTGTTCGACGATGTACAGGGGTCAAGGTCAGGGTCAAGGTCAACCTAGGTCATCTAAGATAATTGCGTTTTAGGCAAGCTGAATTTACTTTTTGTGAAGTTTTTTTGACTGCATTTTTGGTAAAAGCTTCTCAGATCATGATTTCATGTGATATGGACCCAAAAACAATCAGTGCACACATCATTATACACACAGACACACACAGACATACAAACACATATAATTGACCTTGACCTAACTTGACCTGAAATGACCTCAGCAGCAAAATTCTGGTCGGATAGTGTGACAAAGAGGTTCTAGCTGGCTTGGCACCAGAAAACAGCATCGTCATCGGTATTTGATAAGCAGCGCACTTGATATCCAACGGTGACCCAAAACAGCAACATTTTTTAGTTTGACCTGACCTGGAAGGTCAATGACTGACCTGAGAAGGTAAAACTGGGTATCATTGGATTCGTCTCTTCCCAAAGAATCTTTTTGGTCTTTACTGCTAAGCTCTATCTCCAACAGGAACGAAATGGCGCGGGGGGGGGGGTGGCAACCACCCCCCCCCCCCATGTGCGTTCTAGGATGGGAAAATGGCATGTGCGGGCGAGGGTTAAAATGCCAAAATCAAGGGGGCACGGTGCCCCGTTGCCCCCCCCCCCCCCCGTTCCGCCGCCTATGGTCAGTGGTTTGTGATTCCAATAACTGCAGCACAATGATGTGAGTTGTGACTGTCGAAAATTGATTATTTCATGATAGGCGTACCTACCTTGAGGTCCTCAGCGCATCTCAAACTTCATTTAGCTACTGCTCAAATGTCAAAATTAGGCGTGAGTCAGCTGGACCTTCCGTCGGTGACAGCCTGAGACATTTTTTCACCCCTGACTGGAGATATACGGTGAGCAGCGGCAGCACGGACAGGCCGCTGATATACGGGCTCAGCGAATGGCGGACACCGAGTAACGGTGTGCCATTGTCAGACCTTATGGAGACAGAAGTGATACATAGCCAATGTGCTTTGCGAAATAATGAAGCCAATTGAGCTCCAAAATGGAGGACTGTTCACTCAGTGACATATTCGTTCAGAGTTAGTTGATCATACTCATAACAATTGTGTTGCACTGTTCAATGAAGTTCAATGCATTTGCTTAACATTGCATATATCATATAATAGCACTGTTTTACCATTGTCTACTGTGTCCATAAAACCATGTGAATTATTAGGTGTTTTTTCGTTTTGTCATATATCGACATGTATTGAAGTCCGCTGATCCTGTCTGTATGTGTGTCTGTGTGTTTTCCAGATTGTCCTGATCTCACGGCCGGCAGCCTGGAGACCCTCACCATGTGCCCCAAGCTGACGAGTCTCACCCTGTCCGGCGGCGTCCCTGACACCGTGAGCCTGGAGCCCCTCACCAGGTGCCCTGAGCTGTACAATCTCACCCTGTCCGGCGGCGTCCCCGACACCGTGAGCCTGGAGCCCCTCACCAGGTGCCCTAAGCTGCTCAGTCTCACCCTGTCCGGCGGCGTCCCTGACGCCGTGCTGGACAGTCTCAGTGGCTGCCCCAGGCCGTTGTTCCTTACACTGGGGGACCGCCAGCGGCCGGCAGAGACGGCCTTCACAGCAGCAGCGGTCACCAGGTCAGTCAGCAGACACTGGCGAGGGGGTGTCCTGTCAAACACTGACACACTGACACACTGACAAACTGACACTGACACACTGACACTGACACACTGACACTGACACACTGACACTGACACACTGACACTGACGCACTGACACTGAGACACTGACATTGACACACTGACACTAACACACTGATAGTGACACACTGACACTGACACTGACACATTGATAGTGACACACTGACGCTGACACACTGACACTGACATCAGCATACTAACCCCGACTCACTGACACTGATTCAGTGACTGACACCGGCTCTGACACAATGACTGACACTCTGACACAGGCACATTAGCATACCGACACTGACACACTGACACTAACACACTGACACAGACGCACTGACACTTGCACACTGACATTGACACGCTGACACCGACACATTGACACCAACACATTGTCACTGACACCAACACACTGACACTGAAATACTGACACACTGACACTGACTCATACGTCCGGCCGGCTGGTGCCGCTGTGTTTGTGTGTGACGGCTCTGCTGCTCTGCTCTGTTACAGACTGGTGAAGTCGTGTCGGGAGCTGCGGGAGCTGTACCTTCACTGCACGGCAGACACCGGCCGGGCCGTGCTGACCGCCTTGAATGAGGCGGATTTGGGCCGGGACCGTTATTGCCGGCCCCGTACCATCTGGCTCCATGTCCCCGGTAGGTGAGAGGGCGCCGCGCGCCGCGCCTCTGACCAGTCAGTCCCTCACAACAGACGCTGCACGGCGCCAACCGGCCTCTCAGACACACACACTCGACCACCGCCGCAGGTCACGTCACGGACGGTGACGTGACGCGTCACGGCCACCACGGCCGACGGTGACGTCACGTCAGCCGTCTGTCCTGTGTGTGACGTCACTGTCCGGCGGTGTGTGGACACGGCTGTACCGCTGTCTGTGTGTCTGTCTGCAGTGGCGTAGACAGGGGGGGGGGCATGGGGGCCATGGCCCCCCCTTTCCGCCCAGCCGCCCAAATGGCGCCCCAATTAGCGCCGACTAGGCTGATGCCGTTTTACAGAGAGAACATGAATTAAAAAGTGATGTGCAGGCAGGGATCGAACTCAATATCTCTTTGGGGTGCCTGGACACCTAAATAATCTCCAGGGCACCCCCAAATACGACCTGAGCCCCCAAATGTTCAAGGGCGCCCCTCCGGAAACCAGAATATTCCGAACCCCCAGGGTCGATGGCGCCCCTGAAGAGCCGCTGGCACCCACCTAAACGGAACAGTCGCCCCATTGAAGCTTGATGGCGCCCCTCTAGAGCACCCGGCGCCCTTCTGAAGTTCACAGCTGCCCCAATCGACTCATCCAAGATCGATCCCTGAAACCACTGGCGCCCCTCTAAAGCACCCGCATTCTTCTCAAGATCACAGTCGCCCTATCCGAGATCAATAGCGCCCTCAAGAGCCACTAGCGCCCCACCCCCTTGAGACTGAAGTCGTCCCGCTTGAGACTAAAGTCGCCCCATTCAAGCCCAATGACGCCCCTCCAGAGCGTCCAGCGCGCTTCTGAAGATCACGCCCATCTAAACGAAGGTTACAGCTGCCCCATCTTAAGATCGATGACAGCCCTCTGAAACCAATGGCGCCCTTCTAGACTACCCGGCACCCCTCTGAAAATCGCATTCACCCCATCCGAGACAACGCCCCAGGAGACTACAGTCGGCCCACCCAAGCTCAGGCCCCTCCAGAGCCTCCCTGCGGCGCCCTGCTGAAGGCAACAGTGGCCCCATCCATGCCCAATGGCGCCCCTCAACGCCGTTCTAAAGATCACAGTCGCCCCATCAATCCGAGGTCGCTGGCGCCCCTCAAGAGCCACTGGCTCCCACCTGAACCGGGGCTTCAGTCGGCCCATCCTTGATCAATGGCGCCCCTCTGAAACCACTGATGCTCCTCTGAAAATCCCAGTCGGACCATCCGAGATCAATGGCGCCCCTCCAGAGCGTCCGACGCCCTACTGAAGGCAGCAGTGACCCCATCCAAGCATTGCACCCCTCTAGAGCACCCGGTGCCCTTCTGAAGATCACATTCGCCCTATCCGAGGTCGTTCAGACGCCCTCCAGTAGTCACTGACGCGAAACTGAATGAATACTTCGGTCGCCCCGCCCCATTCAAGATTGATAGCGCCCCCCCCCCCCCCAGTTATTTGACAATGGGGCTTTCTCATCGACACCAAGGACCCTTTTCAAGATGCAGCAGCTAGGCGGCGCCGAGCTTAGTTTGGATGTGCCAAGCGTTCCTTATTAGGCAGCCTTGTAAGTGCCACCCTCGTTGCGATACCGCCCCTCAACGCGACGCTGCCCCTTCACCGTACAATGCCACCCCCCAATGCAAGTGGCGCCCCTCAGCGCTGTGCCGCCCATTATTGCGATGCCGACAGCGCCTAGCAGGGCGGTGCCGCCCCCAGCGTAAGCGTTTTTTTTATTGAACCTGCTGGGGGTGTTTGAACACCCACTTCTAACTCAGCTTGTGGGCCACGTCGAGACACGTAGTAGGCGGCGTTCGAAAGAGCGTCAAAAACTATTACAAAACTCTTCAGATCATTTTAAGGTTAGGTCGAACCGGTCGAAGGTCAGGTCACCAGTGACAACCGAAAATCAAATTTCGCCGATGTTGACATTTTTCGACAAAGCGGCGCATAATTTTCATAAAACTGTTATTTTTGGAATTTTTGCCCTCTGGAGGCTAAACCATTGACCTGAGATCAAATCCGAGAGCAATATTCAGAAAAGCCTGTAAAAGGGCTATCGAATGCGCTTTTCCGCGGCGCTGTAGCTCTATTGGTTCCCAAATTAGCCGTTGGCAGTTTCCAAAATTGTTGAAATGGACTAAATTTTACCTTTGATGACCTCTGGTGACCTGACCTTTGACCCGACCTAAAAATTGTTTCGAAGTCTTTCCGTCATTATTTTTGACGCTCTTTCGATTTCCCCTTACCGCGTATCGCTACGTGGCCCAGGAGCCGAGTTAGAGGGGGGACGTGAAAACACCTCCCCCCCAGCACGACACGGAAAGCACAGGCCACCAGCACGGCGCGGGTTAACTTATAGGTAATCGGTAACTTATAGGTACTTATAGAGAGGTCGCAAAATTGACCTGGCCCTCAATGAAGATATTTGGTCTGGGGATTACGCAAGGCGAATGTTCGGTGAGATCAGCAGGTTTCTATGGCACTTATTCAAAGTCGACCATGCACACTCACATCATCAAAAGTCGTCTTCTATACTACGCCGGCCGAAGACATTCTTAACCTTCGTGCCACTATATGGGACAGTCTCACGCCTCACCCATCTGGCACTCATGCAGTCATGAGTGTCTGAGATTCTAAGCACGGCCACCCGGTCGACCAGAGGCTACAGTCCACAGGTCACTTTGGTTCAGTGAGTGAACCTGTATGTTTTTTTTTTTGCAAAGAATAAAGATTGTGCCTAGCCGATCAACGCATATTTTACCGTTTCGAATTCGAATGGGTGTGTATTTTGAGAATAACATGTCCGTAGCCTGAGCTCGTTTCCTATATCGTGCTAAATATGCATACAGATAAAGGCTTTTGATAAAAAAAAAACACTGGGCTGCAAATTGCATTAATTGGATTTTATGAAAAATCAGCGAAACCTGGTTCTGATACTCGTGCCGGTTCCGTAGTAACACCTAGTAAATCAGGCATGAATAAAAATGACGTTACATTTTAGACTGACCCCCTGTCACTAGCTCACAATGGCGCCCCTTTCAAGGGAAAAAGTCGCCCCCTCGAGCACCATGGCCCCCCCCCTTTCGCTGATTTCTGGCTACGCCACTGTCTGTCTGTGTGTGACGTGTCCACCTCAGACGTGTCTCTGCTCTGTCCACAGGGGAGCTGTACCGTCAGCTGTGGATCCAGGGAGGCGGTCGGGTCAGTGTGAGTGAGTGGAAGCATTGATGCGCTGCACTACCGACCGTGCAGTGATGAGCTGACTGCAGAGAGGCCGAGCCAGTCGGCCGGGGCCGCCAGCTGACTGCTGCCGTGTGTGCTGCACCAGCCGGCACTGAGAGCGGCGCCGGTCAGCCGGCACACGGCCCCGGTGTCCGCTCTAGTGTAGTCATGTAGTTGTAGTAGTAGTAGTGTAGATGTAGTAGTAGCACACGGGTGTGACGTAGTGGGTAATTACCGGGCGGGTATTGTGGGTAATTGGACGGATGATGTGATCTAGTGGGTAATTACCAGGTGGGTATTGTGGGTTATTGGACAGTGAAAAGTGATGTGCTGGAGAGACTACCGATCATGGCATTACGCTATTCTGTATGTAGAACACACGTCTCTGGCCGTCCGACTCGGTTCACCGCGCCTGGTCCCGGCGGCACGGCCGGCCTCGGTCACGTGACCGCTCCCCCGGTGGAGTCGGACGGCTCGGTCACGTGACCGTCCCCCCGGGTCTGGCTGCACCTCGGCTCGGCGGTGCTGAGCGCCGTGCTGAGCGTGTTGTGACACGTCCCACACGGACAGCTCTACTCGACTACTGGCTAGCTGCCGTCCGAGCTGGCAGTATACACGCGGTGCCAGTTCAGACGGCGGCCGGCCGCGCCGCGCCCGCCCGCTCCGGTCCCGGCCGCACTGAAAACAAAATTACCCATGGGTGATGAGTAAACTCATGAACCGGCGGTAATTTTAAACAACCTATTTGACTGCTCGAGGCGCCGGTAATGTAACTAGGCCTGCACCGGTCATTCCACCTCTCAATTGTGCGTTAACTCATGTCTCTTCACTCGTGTATGATGAGTTAACCGATTGTGAAAAACTCATGTACTCTTGGTAACTCATTTTGATTACTCATGATATGCGAGTATAGGCTTACTCTTATTACACCGTTTGTCACCGACGAAATGAACTGCCCTGTTGTTCTTCTCTTTCGTTTTACATTTGACAGCCAAGCGTGATCTATCGCAGTACTGGTCGTGCCCCGTGAGCCTGGACCAGCTCTTGTGTTAGTTTCTCGTCTCATGTTCTAATTGCCTACAATTTTTCACTCGCGCTATCGCTTCCCACTTGACGGCTGAGCGTGCTCGCCGCGCACCGTATCTTATAACCGAACGTGCCGCGCGAGACTGCTCTGACTTTTCTCACTAGTTTCCAGTGTCGCTTTCTGAGTGCTTTTAGATGTACAACCTAATTGTTCTCTTTGTGCCCGCGGCGGCTCCTCGAGTCGCTGCGGGCAGTCTCCACTTGAACGTCACCGAGTACAGTCCTCGGTGGCGGTGCGTGGCTCCACCGGCGCCCCGAAGTGCGCCGGTGTCAGTGAAGTGACGGAATCGTGCACCGCGCACGATTCCGACGGCACCCCCAGCGGGCTGCCAGAGTGAACGGCATCCCTAGCGGATTGCCGCAGTGAACAGGCACCCCCAGCGGGTTGCTAAAGTGAGCGGGCACCCCCAGTGGGCTGCCAAAGTGAACGCCACTGAGCGCGTAGCTCGGTGGCAGTGCGCGATTTCGCCGGCGCCCCGACGTGCGCCGGCGTATTGCGAGTGAATCCGACGGCGCCCCCGTCCGCGGCGGCGCCGGTGTGTCCGCCTCGGCGGACAACAGTGACCATCGACAGTGCTAGTGTGTTTCCTTGTCTACCTGTCTACTCTGCGTTCTTCAATTTTACCCTCGTCTACCGTTCATCATTATCTATCGTCCGGAATTCTTCAATATATTCTTCAAAATTCATCTACGTTTTTCCTCCGCTACAATAAATGTCCCGGCCTCCACCAGAGGCACGACAGGGTCGGCGATAGAGATGCCCTTTTTGAACCCGCAAACCCGCTTTCTGCGGGTTTTCAAAACCCGCAGGGTTTTTGGCGGGTTCGAGAAGCAAAACTTGTCGTGTGGCGGGTATTTGGCGGTCAGACTTTTGAACCTATAATTTTTTTTTTTTTTAGATGCAAAACACAATGCCAAATGCATTTGCTCAGGTTAACAATACAATATTCATCAAAACAACTTTTAAAACAGAACCAAATATAAAAATATATCAAGGAAGCACATTTCAAATGCAAAACTGAAAACAACCCGCAATAGCATCTGTCGTGTGTTCGAGCCCTTTTCCTTTATCCTCCCCGTGCCTATACTAGTTTCCTTTCCGACTTTTAAAGTATCCTCTGTCTGGTAGCCCGTCCTGGATCCTTCACATTGCGCTGTATAAACCGAGTTGATTTCTCCCCCGTTTCGTCCTCGTGGTTGAGTTCCGCCCTGACTGCCGTCGTGTTCTTGTCGCCGCCACGTGTTGAGAGTGTTGGGAGTCGCCGCCGCCGCCGAAGAGAATATAAAGTATAAAATCAATCAGCTCTTTCTTGATAACGAACCGGCTTTTATTGTTAATTCACCACATAGTCCTCCGCTGGCCGGATCAAGATTTGCTTTTGGTAGATTCTTTGCTTGCACTGTAAACTCATTTCAACAAACGTTTGTTACTTTTACAAGGAAAATTATTTAGCGCAAATCCCCGCACCCTTTGCCATGTCATCGAACGACCCTATTGTTTGTCATGGTAGTTTTTCTTACAACCCACTCACATGTAGTTCGTTAGACTAGCTACCAAAGTTTGCTTTGTCATTGTCGTGTGAACGACTGTTTTCCTAGTTATAATCATGCGGCTACCAGGTAAAGACCTGCGCATGCTTGCATTTAACAGGGCTGAGCCGTGTACTTGTTAAGTCAAATCAATGCAAATCTTAGTTAGCATAGTAATGTCTACGTGCAGCAAACCTGTACTTGTAAGCAATCTACTAGTCTCAGGTTTGTAACGTTTTACAAAGACCTCCCTTGTATTCGTCAGTTTTCTCCACAAATCGCAGGTCGCCGCTCTGCAGTCTCATTATTACAGCAAAACAGCATTACTGAAAGTAGGTCATGTATTTAAAATGGTACATACACATTACACACACAATGTTGATAACACTCATGACCCAAGGGGCAAGGGCAATAACGCATGCGAAAAAGCAATGAGCGTAATCACTTACCGAGTACACTGTACCCATTCAAATCTAAGGGGCATTCAAATTCATTAGCCCCTTGGAATTCAGGTGCTTTTTCATTTTTAGAATTCTTGAGTTTCTGCAGTTTGCTGTCTTCAGTGTAGCGACCCTTGCTTGCAAGCTGGAGCTTTCGCTCCTGATGAAAGCCTGAAAGAAAGCATCGCTATATTATAGCATATGCAGAACAATATGGCCTGGAGCAGAACACATTGTGCTTGCTTCCATACATCACGCACTTATTTAGCAAATTTCTCTGATTCAGTCTGCATTACTATTATATCAGTTGAAAGACATACATTTCATTAAAAAATGACAAAAACGACCGAACACTGTTATCACCTACCATTTTCACGGAAGTGCGCAGGAGGCCACATCACTGCACGGAGGTTGGCGCGCAACTGAAACTTTCAAAATGAAACGGCCGGAAACGTTTTTGGCGCCACCTATATAACAAGTAACAGCTTTGTATATGTTACTACTAACACGTCTAACTAGCGTAACTAAGTCCGTGTTGCAAAGGTGTAGCTGATACCTTTGACAAGGACATAGATTACATAAGTATGTATCAGTATTGTTGCAATGGTGTAGCTGGTTTTTTCGACAAGGATATAAATTACAAATCATAAGCAAATCTATGTTCCATATTACGAATAAGACCCTGGTAGTTTTCACAATAGCCTCCATAATCCTCGTCAATTTTATGAATGGTCGACTGGGTGCTGGGGCTGATACTAATATTTGCCCTGTTGATTCAACCAACTATGACAAGATATTCGTCGTTCGACATAACCTTTATTAGTATTTTTGACAAACGCTCGTCGTTGTACGACAACCCCTTATCAAAATGAGTTTACAGTGTGATTTTGATTGAGATTTTGATTTGAGATTGAGATTGTGCCTTCAAGATTTGAGTGTTTCTGTCAAGAGCTGTGATGGAGGAAAGTGAACTGCGCCAGAAGCGAACCTTAGCCAGAGGTAAGGTAACCAGACTTTTGCGTGACCTCTCTGCCAGTGATCAGTCGCAGGAGGATGAGCTGGCCCTACGCATTCACCACCTCGAGATGCATTATGAGCATATGCTACGGCTACAATGTGAACTTGACAAACATGGGATCGAGGATGATAGCTCACACATGCAGGATGCGTATGATGCTCTCTTCAAGGCTAAGCGTGTTCTAGCCAGGCTCGAGAGGGGAGTAGCTTCTGCTCCAGTACTGCATGAGCGCCAGAGTGCTTTTAAACTTGAGCTAAAGCTGCCTAAGTTTGACGGAGCAGTTGACACATGGCCTGAGTTCTGGAACCTGTTCAGAACTGCTGTTCATGACAACAGAGCTTGTTCCCCAGTGGAAAAGTTTGTGCACTTGAAAGTGTACCTGACTGGGAGGGCACATGCAGCTATCCAGGGACTGCCGTTGACTGATGCTGGATATGTCAAGGCCATTGAAATGTAACGCTGGCGCGCTACATTTTTAACGCAAATTTTCCAGCATTCTCTCATGGCGACGACGGCGTGTGCACCGGGGTTTGGGCGCCGGCGCTGGCGTCACCGCACCGCCGCGCCGGCAAACAGCCCCCGGGCCACGCCGGACCAAAAGGGTACGGCCGGGGCGAGAGGGGACCCGGCCGTCAAAACAACCCGGGCGCAGAGGCGGAGGAAGGAGGAGAAGGAGGAGACCACGCGAAGACCAGGACGAACACCAGTACCTGAAGACGCCTCTGTCAGCCATGAGCAGCTGCACTGGGGAGCCGAGGGAGAACGAGGCCAGGGGGAGAGAAGAGGACAGTCGGCAGTTGGAGTCTGGCCGGAGAGCTGACCATCGACGGCAGGACGTCGGCTGGGCCGGACGGCCCGTGTGGCCGGACGGCCCTGCAATACAGGAGGAGGGCTCACCAGCAGCGGTAGGCCATCGGCGGGGCCCGACCTGCCCTGCCGGCCGCACGGCCCGTCAACCGGGCGGCGCTGAAAGAAGAGTCGGGGTGTGCATTGTGCAACCCAGCAGCGACGGAGGAGACCAGGGCGGCCGACCACCTTGGACCGCCAGCCATGTCAGCAGCGGCAGCC